CTTTACTATTTAAAGTATTGCATGAGTCTCCTTTTTCCCCCCATTGACCTCTCCCCCCAAAATATTTTTTTTAAAAAAAGAGCCCCAGTGTGACTCTGTGTGGTGAGGGGCCCAGTCACTCAGAAGCGGACTTACAAACACTGTCTTCTGCACCCCAGCGTTCCCGGGGAGCCCCCTGCTTCTACGACTTTCACACAGGCCTCATTCAACGCTTGGTGCGGACCTTACTTTTTCATCCCGACTGGGCACCGAGCCGAGGCCTGTTTTCCCACTGTCCGTCAGATGAATGCTTGGATCGGTGTTCGGGCTGCCTGCCGGGTCCTGCTTAGTAATGTGAACAGACTGGAAGTCCCAGGGCGGCCGCTGGCAGCCTGCGGGAGAGGAGCGGCCGCCAGCGCCACAGCGCCACCCTGTGGCAGCGGCAGGAAGCGCTGCTCGCAGCCCCGCAGTCCCCACTGGGCTTGGGTTGGGCAGGGACCTTAAACCTCATCAAATCCCATCGTCATAAAACTGCCATTTAAAGAGCATTTGCTATGTGTCAGGCACCGCGATCACTGCTGTATCTTGTTACAGCCTCAGATTTTGATTTTCCTGTGCGGTAAGATAAGTTCACACAGCGGATAAGAGAGCCAGAGAATGAGTCCCTAGGGTCTACAGAGGCCACACAACGAGGCTGCACTCTGTCCTTCCAGCCACTCGCTCAGTGGGGAATGCTCCTTATGTTTCTCAGCCGCACACCTGCGGGCCGCACCCGTGGGTTTTACTAACAGGCAGATTCTGATTCAGCAGATCTGGGGAGGGACCGAGGGCTCCCAGCCAGTTCTCAGACCACAGAGAGACAAGGCCTTAGAACAGCGCTGCCCAGGAAGACTTCCGTGAGGACAGAGGTGTTACAGCGCTGTGCTGTCCAACACATTGGCCAACATGAAGTCACATGAAAACACAAAGCTGAAAGGGAGGCTGGGCTGGGTAAGCATTATTCTGGGAAGCCTTTAACTGAGAAATGGGATAGAATGAATATAGGATTGATTATAGCCTCTGGTACTTGTAGAGTTGCCCCAACACTAAGTCTTCCTTGGGAACCTCTCCAGCTGTCTGGTCTGTCCCTGCCTCCTAAATATAATCCGTGCAGGGGACCGACACCCACTCCAATCCCCCGGGAGAACCCCAACTCCTAGTTCTGTGCTCAGGTCAAGATTCCACTTCTCTCTTAAGCCTTTCCTGACCACCTCGGTTTCTGATGATCTCCCTTCTTTCTACAGAACTTCTTGGAAGAGGAAGGAGAGTGGTGGAAAGTGCCCAGCCTGTAGGCCAGACAGATCTGGGTCTCGTCTTGGCTCTTCTCCCACTTCCTGTGTGATCTTGGGCAATTTGTTTATCTTCCTTGAATCTCAATGGTCTCTGCTTGTCTTCAACAACCTGGAACAGGGAGTATAGCGAGGCAAAGTCTGAATCAAGTTTTAAGGAGCAGTTACCTACTGCTTCTCTGTATGGTTAAAAAGAGAGAGTCATGTTGCATCAGCCTTTTTACTATAAGATAAGCTTCTATTTCAGTGGTTCTCAACCTTCCTAATGCCATGACCCTTTAATACAGTTCCTCAGGGGTGACCCCCAACCATAAAATTATTTCCTTTTTTTTAATATATTTTATTGATTTTTTACAGAGAGGAAGGGAGAAGGATAGAGAGTTAGAAACATCAATGTGAGAGGAACATCGATCAGCCGTCTCCTGCACACCCCCACTGGGGATGTGCCCGCAACGAAGGCACATGCCCTTGACCGGAATCGAACCCGGGACCCCTCAGTCCGAAGGCTGACGCTCTATCCACTGAGCCAAACCGGTCAGGGCCATAAAATTATTTTCATTGCTACTTCATAACTGTAATTTTGCTACTGTTATGAATCGTAATGTAAGTATCTGATATGCAGGATGTATTTTCATTGTTACAAATTGAACATAATTAAAGCATAGTGATTAATCACAAAAACAATATGTAATTATATATGTGTTTTCTGATGGTCTTAGGCGACCCCTGTGAAAGGGTCGTTTGACCCCCAAAGGGGTCTCGACCCACAGGTTGAGAACCGCTGTTCTACTTGCAGCTCTTAGTTTTAAAAAAATCTCATGCCCAATATCTATCTATCTATATATAAAAGCCAAATATGCAAATTGTCCCCACGGGAGTTCTACTGGGAGACCCATCGTTTGCTATGACATGGGGCAGCGCAGAATGAAGGAAGGCCCCAGCCGGCAGCCAGGGAAGGGTGGCCCTGGCCAGCAGCCAGAAGGCCCCAATTGGCCCTAATTACTGGCCAGGGGACCCTACCCATGCACGAATTTTGTGCACTGGGCCTCTAGTGTGTGTGTGTGTGTGTGTGTGTGTGTGTGTGTGTGTGTATACATAATACCTATATCTATATTGCAAACATGCCCCTGCCCTAGGTATAAGGTCTTCATCTCTGACAATTAAAAGGCTTAACAGGACTTCTTGCTTGATTTAGCAAGGCAGCCCCCCACTCAGACCCTTGGTGTGCAGAGTTCTGAAGGAGAGACTTTCCAGAACCGTCTCAGAGTCTAAAAAGAGGGAAAGAATTAAGAGCTCCTTACCCCTAGCTCTCTGAGACTTAAACTTACAAAAATTGTTAGGATGCCACCGACCAACATATGATGGCAGGAAAGGTCACCCAGGGCAAAAAAGGGGAAGTTTGTAGGAGATTATGGGGAATCTGGGATGGTGACCTCCATACAAGTGCATATAGCAAATCAGAGGCAACCACCCTGGCAGTACGAAGCTTTGGGAATGCACATGCGTATTAATGAAAAGCATTGCCTTCTTAAAGTCGGCACGTGGCACCGCTGTGAACAGGCAAGGACCTGGACCAGCAAGGGTATCACCGAAGTCTAGGGAGGGCAAGTGCGTGCTGGCCTGTGCCAAACCGGCTTTCAGCAGCGACACCTTGTGGCAGCAACGGAAACAACCGTGCCAGCGACCTGGCTTGAGATGTAAGGAGAACTTTCTGGACTAAGAATTTAGGATTCTTAGAAAGTTTAAAGACGCCTTGCAAGAGGCAAATGATTAGACTTATGTGTCCCCGAGGGAGTCCTATCTCATGCTTGTATACAGTGCCGCCCCTGGGTCTGTCCCCAGAACAGGACGTGGGGCATGGAGACTCAGGTAGCTGGCTCTCCTGTGCTGCCTGCTGTGTGGTGGGTTGTCTCCCAGCACTTCTCCAGCTCTACCTACAGCCTGGCTCCTGGGCCCAGTGTTCCCAGCCGTGCCAGGGCAGGGCGCAAGGGACAGCCCCGGAAGGAGGAATCAGCCCCGGTAGCTGTCTCAGTCTCCACATGAGAGACTCATTTTCAAGGTAATGAAATTGCAGTTAATGCAACTTGCTGGCTAGTTCCTCTCACACGGTGACTTGGTCTGTGTGTGGCTTCTTGGCATACCCCTGGCAGGAAAGACCAGTGCTCTGTCATCAGATTGTAGAGGCCACGGGGGCTCTTCTGAAACAGGAAGCAAGCCCTTTTCAGAGTGTTCATTTTATTTGTTGCACATTTTAGCAGGCTAAGCACTGAGGGTTGGGATTTTTAAAAATATATATATTTTTATTGATTTCAGAGAGGAAGAAAAAGGAAGGGAGAGATAGAAACATCAATGATAAGAGGGAATCATTGATTGGCTGCCTCCTGCACACCTCCCACTGGAGATGGAGCCCGAAACCCAGGCATTTGCCCTGACCGGAATCGAACCCGGGACCCTTGAGTCCGCAGGCCAATGCTCTATCCATTGAGCCAAACCAGCCAAGGAGGAATTTTTTTTTAATATTTACTCATTCGGCCAAAGGAGTATTTTAATAAAGCTAAGTTCTTTGTAGAAAGCTTCCCCAAAGCCCTGGCTAATTGATTCCTAAAGAAGCAGCCCCTCCTTCTATAGGAGCATCCCAGGGAGAGCGAGCCCACTGCAGCACAGAGGCGGCCCTTGCACTGAACCGGCCCACTGACGTGCCTTGTTGGGGACATTTCATATAAAATTCCAGACTTCTTGTTTCTTTTCAACAAATGGGCAATGTGGCAACAGTGGGCTTGGACTCTCAGAAGCAATAGGACGGCTGCTGCCTCCCGGGGAACCGGGTGGGTGTGCTGCTCTGGTTGGGGCAGTGTGCTGGAGGCAGCCAATCGATGTTTCTCTCTCTTTGTCTCTGCCCCTCCATTCCACTCTCTCTAAAAATCAATGGAAGAATATCCCCAGGTGAGGGTTAACAAAAATCCTATATAATAAAAGGCTAATATGCAAATTGACCGAATGGTGGAACGACCGGTCGCTATGATGCTCAACACAGGAGCTGCCCCCCTGGTGGTCAGTGCGCTCCCACAGGGGGAGTGCTGTTCAGCCAGAAGCTGGGCTCACAGCTGGTGAGTGCAGCAGCAGTGGCAGGAGCCTCTCTTGCCTCCACAGCAGTGCTAAGGATGCCTGACTGCCCGTGGGAGCGGGCCTATGCCATCAGCTGGACATCCCGCAAGGGCTCCTGGACTGAGAGAGGGTGCAGGCCAGGCTGAGGGACCCCCCCGCCCCCAAGTGCACGAATTTCATGCACCAGGCCTCTAGTAAATAAATAAAACACATTTAAAAAAAATAACTGGTTCCTCTGCCAAATGGAAAACATTGATGTGGACAGACCCCCTCTGGCAGGGGCAGTACCAAGGCCGAGCTTTTAAAACTCACATTCTGTGTGATCTGCAAGGACCTCACGAAATGGGGTTTGCTTCCACGTCCTCACCTCCGGCCACTTGCCATCATTGGGCACTGTTCTAAATTACAGGCGCCAGCGCTGGTCTTTAATTACAGAGTGCGTTCACAGGGCTTGCTGGCAAATGCCATGGAAGTAAGGAGGCCTCTAATGAAATACAGCATCATTTTATCTGTTCTCCAGTGGCAGCTTTTAAAACGCAATTAGCACCATGCAAGATATTTATTTAGGATTTTATCTCACTTAGTCATTTCACCTCCGGATGAGTGTCGTACTTCCAGCTGCCTTTCCCTCCTTCACACGAATATTTCCTCATTTCAATCCACTCTTTTTTCCCTCTTAAACTCCGGGGAGCCGGAATGTCGGGGGCTGGGGAGCCTGAATGAGGAAAGCAAACACCTTAGAGATTTCACCCTCCCGCCCCTGCTCTTCCCTGGTGTGGATGGAGGAGGGACGGACACAAGGAACCAAGCTGGAACACGCGCTGGTGCCCAGCCATCACCCGCAGGAAAGCACCACGATTCCTGGGCGAGGCGTGACAAGTCCTGCACAGCCTCCGCCCTCCCCCAGGGACCTCCCCCAGGGCCCCAGGCAGCTTCCTATGCTGACCACGCCCCACCCTCGGAGGAGCCAGGTACGCCCACCCCTCTCCACTTTGGCCTCAGATCCCCGCAATAGTATCATATCCTCTAAAAAGGCCTTTCAACCCACCTTCCCACCCCAAATCAGCATCCATTCCTTCTGGGGATTGTCCCTACTCAGTAATACCCGCTTTGGTGGCAACCAAATATGTGTGTGTCGCCCTAGGGCCTAGGCAGTTTGGTTCCTGTCAAGGGCACGTACCTCCTTGCACACTCGATCCCGACCCTGGTCAGGGTGCGTGGGGGAGGCAACCAATCGATGTGTTTCTCTCACATCAATGTTTCCCTCTGTGTCTCTCCCCCTCCTTTCCACTCCCTCTAAAAAAATAAATGGGTAAAAGAATCCTCGGGTGAGGATTAACAAACAAATGTGTGTGTGTCATCCCCGTGGAACCTTTGAGGGCAGAGTGACTACTTCATCTTTGTATGCCCAAGCGCCACCCGCCATGCAGTGCACACGGCAGAGGCTCAACAAATATTTGCTTAATAAAATAATGTCAAGTCTTTTCTATGCAAAGGAGCCACCAATGAGTCTGTCTCTTGAACCTGTCCATCTCCTGAAGACACTGGACTTATCTGGCGTAAGGCTTGGGGCCAGGCTGCTCGTTGCCCGCCCCCCCCCCCGCCCCCCCGTAAATCAATGCTACCAAAAGTTAATATTCTTGATACATAAGATCTTAAATCCATGAATAAACCCCCAAGTAATATAAATAAGGGTAAAGAAAACGAACAACCCACAAAAAGAAAACTATGTGTGGCCTGTAAATATATGAAACATGTTCAGTTTCAGTAGCAACGAAAGACATGGAAGTTCATGTGCATTCTGCTCGCACCTGTCGCTGTAGGTTTTCAATGGTGTGTGGACGTTCACTCTAAGTGCTGGCGACGCTGAGGAGGTGGCTGGTTGTCCGTGCGTCCCCAGCGCGCACTGTCCAGGTGCAGTGGACATTGCAGAGAACAAAACAAGTGGTCCCCACCTTCGAGGGACTCAGGATCCAGCGGGAGACCCGGTAAGTACCCATCTCCTTCGGAGGGCCAGCGGGTGACACTGGCTGTTTATAACCCACCGGACTGTGCCCAGCGGAGGCCCCTTTTCCTTCCGAGTCAGATGTGTGAGTTTGGAGGAAAGAGGTGGGAAAGCTGCCTTTTTCTCCACCATGAAGGGCGAGAAACCGGAGCTCCCCAAGTAACGCACGAGGGAGGGGATCAGTGCCGAGCTGGGAGGAGGCGCAGCAAAGGCATGTGGCAACGTGGCCCTCCCGCGTATGGGTTTTTGTGGAAACCCAAGAAGGACCGAGATTCACACTCAACACGACTTGGCAGAACAAACAAAATAGCTCTTACAAGTGGGGGCCCATGAGGTAGCACTGACCACGAGAAATGCAAACCTCCTCGCTGCTCCCAAAGTTCATAGACATGGGGCGGGGCTTTGGACGTCCACTGACTTCGGAACTATGTGTCTGTGGGTGTGGCGGCTAGGGGGGGGGGGTCGGGGCGGGCAGGGGTGTTATGAATGTGATTTCAGACAGATCTCAAGGGAAAAGCAACTCCCATCTGACATTTGGATTACAATATAGAGCAGTGAGGTAAGCAGGAAGTACCTCGCTCCCTATACTCACGTAGTGAGCTGAAACTGCTATGATGATGGTGATGAGGAAGGTGGTGATGGTGATGACAGAGAGAGAGAGAGAGAGAGAGAGAGAGAGAGAGAGCTGTACTACCCCCCTCCCTCCATAGTCTTAGTGCTGCATTGGCCCCTGGAGTCCTCTCCACTGAGGGGAGCACTAGAAAGTGCTCTAAAAAGCTCTTCTGAGTTACAGGGAGGATGTGGCTGAGGATGTCAGTCAGGGGGAACTAGATCCCCGTCTGTGCAGATGAGAGCTCAGCGGGCTCCAGGACACCGACTTCCGGCCCCAGGAGATGGAGCGCACTAGCTCTCTCCTCTCTCCTCTCCCCAGGGGACCAGGACAGGCAGGCCCTTCCCTCTGAGCAGCCTCATCGCACCCTCCTTTCCGTGTGGCTCCCTTCCTTGCTGCGGGGCAGCGGGTGAGAGGCACTGGAGGAAGCACGCAGCCTCTCACCCTCGCCAGGCTGGGGACCCCCTGGGTCAGGACTCACTGATCAGAGGGGTAAGATCAGAAACTCAACTTGGGGTGCCGGGGCTATGAAATCGAGTACCCCCCCCCCCCCCCCGCCATGGTTAATACCAATCTCGGTATTAACTAACTTAGGGAAGCAAGACTGTGCCAGGAATTAAAATCCAGCTTCCTGAGTTTTCTGCTTTGGAGTTAGGGGCCCAGGTCCCAGATAAAAATACTACGTTACCTGCCGTTTGCTCGTGAGAACCTTCTTGGTACATATTTTTCTTAGGAACAAACTCCTTGTGTCCAAATCTCATTTCCTAGCTGGTTGGATCACCTGGCAAACTCCTTAGTCTCCCGGTGCCTCGTTCCCTCAGCTGTAAAATGGGAGTGCGGTCGTTGTGTTCACGAGTTTACACATGTAAAGCGCTTTGAGCCGCACTTGGTTCATGACTGGCACTGAGCTAATGTTGGCTGTTGTTTCTCCCACCAAAGTCTAGTCCCTCCAGGAACCTGACACTGCCAGTGTTCAATCTTTTCCCTCAACAGCAGCCCTGTCCTGGGGAGTTGCACCCCTATTCATCCAGCTGAGCAAGCCTCAAACCTGAGTCACCCTTGACTCCTCCTCTCCCCAAACCATCAAAGCTTGTCAACTTTCCTAACTTCCTAACTCCCATCAAACTTACCAACTTCCTTAAAATCTCCCAGGTCTGTTCCCCTCCCTCCTCCAGAATCTCCCACTAGAACGAGCCCAGTAGCCCCCTAACTGCACCCACCCAGCTCACTATGGACCCATGTCCACCCTGCAGCCAGGGTGATGTTCGAATGCAGATCTGATCCTGTTGCATCTCCTTGACTCCCTGCTTATACGTTGTAATGACTTTCCACTGTTCTTGGGAGGGAAAAATTAAAATCCTAACAGCATGCAAACAGAGTCTGTTAGGATGTTTTTGACCCCAGGGGCCAGAAAGCCCCATAAAAATGGGCTTAAAATACAAGGCAATGTATTGGCTCCCTGGCAGGTCACTGGAGTAAGCTTCAGGCATTGCATGATCGGGGTTCTACCACCATATTCTGCTATTCCCTCAGCTCTGCCTTCCTCCCTAGGTGTCAGTTTAAACCACAGCCCAGTTTCCTTTTGATCAGCATCAAGTGAACACTTCTAGACGACAAAAAAACATCTTTCCCAGCCATGCCGTAAAGTCTCTCCCCTTCGGCCGGAGTGAGCCAGCCGAGGCCATTGCCCATTCCCAACCCAAACTTCCTAGTGATATATCGTCCACTGAGTCCTCTTCTTCCCTGTCCCTGGTGGGAAATGGGCCCTTCAGTACAAAAACACATTGAAATCATGCTAAAAGATACACGTGGTAGTAAAGCCAGAAAGTTTTGCTTTAACAACGCTCAACTCTAAAAACCACGAAAGAACTATCAACCTTAAAGCTCCTCATTGTCCTTGATGAAGGATCTGAGGCCAGAGGTCCCAGAGCAACGGTTCTCAACCTGTGGGTCTCGACCCCTTTGGCGGTCGAACGACCCTTTCACAGGGGTCGCCTAAGACCATCCTGCATATCAGATATTTACATTATGATTCATAACAGTAGCAACATTACAGTTATGAAGTAGCAACGAAAATAATTTTATGGTTGGGTCATAACATGAGGAACTGTATTTAAAGGGCCAGAAGATTGAGAACCACTGTAGCAGGGGTGGGCAAACTTTTTGACTCGAGGGCCACAATGGGTTCTTAAACTGGACCGGAGGGCCGGAACAAAAGCATGGATGGAGTGTTTGTGTGAACTAATATAAATTCAAAGTAAACATCATTACATAAAAGGGTACGGTCTTTTTTTTTTTTTTAGTTTTATTCATTTCAAACGGCCGGATCCGGCCCGCGGGCCGTAGTTTGCCCACGGCTGGTATAGAGCCTTGGCCTCGTGGGAATAGGCAGTAAAAGCAGAGGGAGGACCACGGGGGAGGGAGGAGAACCAGGAAACAAGGGTTTGCTGGCCTTGTAGGAGATGGGTTTTCAATGGATAGGGTGGACAAGGTAAGAAAATGCGGCTGTAGCATCTTCTGCCTCCCAGGTGGGATCCCAGTCTGCTTATTGTTTCCTTCCTGGAAATGGACTTAGCCACCAAAATAATTGAAAGCAGGGACTCAAACAGCCATCTGTACACTGATGTTCATAGCAGCATTATTCACAATAGCTAAAAGATGAAAACAACCCAAATGTCCATCAATAGGAGACTGAATAAACAAAATATACATACAATGGAATATTATTCAGCCTTCAAAAGGAATGAAATTCTGCCATGAGCTCCAACGTGAATGAGGCTTGAAGATAGGCTAAGTGAAATAAGCCAGACACAAAAGAACACATACTTTGTGATTTAACTTATATAAGATTCATAAAATAGCCAAATTCATAGAGACAGAAAGTAGAATAGAGGTTGCCATGGGGAGTATGAGTAGAGTTTCAGAATAGGAGATGATAAAGAGGTTCTGAAGATGGATAGTGGTAATAGCTGCAAAACAATGTGAATGTACTTAATGCCAATGAAATGTATGGCTAAAATGGTAACTTTTATGTTATATACTAGAGGCCCAGTGCACAAAATTCATGCATGGGTAGGGCCCCTAGAAGCTGCTGCTGCCATCTGCGGCCTCCCCCCCAACCCCGCCCGCCTGCCACTGCCGCTGGCCAGGGCAGGGCCAGCTGGGAGGAGGGGCCATGGGTGGTTGGCCAGCCCCACCCCACCCTCTGGTTGAACTCCCGGTGGAGGGGACAATTTGCATATTAGGCTTTTATTATATAGGATATTCTACCACAAAATGGGTTAGTTCACCTTTCCAGGCATTAAGAGCACCACAAAGGGGTGACAAGAGCTTGTCAAAGAATGATTATTGGTTGATTGGTCTATCTGGGTAAAGGACATATTTTTAGTCATACAGTTTCATTCGGGTCAGGTGATGCCGATGATGCTGATGACGACGATGACGAGGCCTCCCATGGAGGAAGCTCCGCCCACTCCCTGCACAGCCAGTTCCTCTGAGTCAGACGGGCCCTTTGTGAGCGCAGAGTGTGGGAGGGAGGAGAGGGGGTTTCCTTCCTCAGGCAGGAAGACAGTGTGAGGAAACAGAGCTACAGATACTCTTTGAATGGAAAATGCCTCCTTCAGACCTCGTGTTTTTTTTTTTAGTTATCCCCTTCCCACCTCCTATTGCAAAGGGATGACGGAACAGCTGTCACCAGTTGGGTCTGACTCATTAGTTTATCATCTGTCCCCACCCTCCCTCTAACACCCTCTCTCAAAATCCACCCACCCACAAAATGCCTGAGCACAGTTGACTATTTTAAGAACTGAATTCCCTGTCGGCATGGCAACTTCCCGGCTGTACCCCTTGTCATTGCTGCCTGGATGGGAGAAGAGCCACCGCTCACCAGGGCTCCACCAGCCCGCAGCAGAGATGGTTCCCAGATCAGGTGTGGCCAGAGAGTGGACATTTAGTCTCTGCCCCATCTTCTTCTTCGTGTGTGTGGTTGTTTTTACAGCCTTTAACAATGTAAAAACCATCCTCCATTCTTAGCTGCCTGACCATATGAAAATAGGCCGCAGGCCAGAGTTGGCCCAAGGACCAGTTTACTCAACACTCCCCCCCCCCCCGCACACACACACACCGGTCTTAGAACCAGAGCAACAGGTGTTCACACTTGCTGGGTTTCTCATTGTGGAAGTTTGAAAGGTTGCAAAGGGCGAGGGGACTGCACGGGTGGGGGGGAGGGGGAAGAGGGGGATGGGAATGGGGTTGTGGAAGAAGGACGAGAAAATATCTATGTGTTACACTATTGTATTCTAAAGGTTTGTTTATATTTTCTTTTCTTTTTTTTACAGTTTTTACTTTTTTAAAATATATTTTATTGATTTTTTACAGAGAGGAAAGGAGAGGGATACAGAGTTTGAAACATTGATGAGAGAGAAACATCGATCAGCTGCCTCCTGCACTCCCCCTCCGGGGGATGTGCCCACAACCAAGGTACATGCCCTTGACCAGAATCGAACCTGGGACTCTTCAGTCCCCAGGCCGACACTCTATCCACTGAGCCAAACCTGTTAGGGCCAGTTTTTACTTTTTATTTCTTGTTTATATTTTCAAAATTTTCTACTGTAAAAGTATTATTTTTTATCACTTGTAAGAAAACAATTAATTTTTTAAAAAAAAATCCCAATGATGTCAATCTATTTGGAAAACTGCCAGGCTTCCCACTTTTTAAAAAAAATTTAAATTCTTTATTGTTGAAAGTGTTAGATATGTCTCCTTTATTTTATATTTTTCTTGTGTTTCAAAATTAAAGTCTCAGGCTATGCTATTTTCAACATACCCCAAATAATCTATGATTTCCTTTTGCAGAAAATGATAGTTATGTTGTAACCTCTTGGCATTCTTCTCAAAGACCAGATTTTCTTCAGAAATGTTGAAAGATGAATGTTTTGAATGTTTCTTTTTTGTTTAAAAAATTTTTTGAAAAAAGTTTAAAAAAATTTTATTTAAAAATTTGATCATGGAAAATTTTAACCAAAATTAAAAAGAATAAAATAAGCCCCCATGGACCTGACATTACTGGTTTGTTTTTAAAGGATATTTCTGTGTAAATTAAAGAAACCATTTGTACTTTCTTAAAACATGGATGGAAAGGGGTAAACGATACCTATGTAAGTAGTATTTGTATAGAATCCAGTGATAGGTCATGTCTGACAGTGACTGCTTGCTATGGGGCATGTCAGCAAGAAGCGGAACTTTGGCATCGCGCTCCTTGGACTTGGGTCCAATCCCTACCATGACATACGCTCTGTCACCTGCTAATGGGGTTGGTGTAGCGCCCACCCATAAAGGGCAGGTGCAGAGGAAGAATCGGCTGGAATTAGTCGCCGAGGGGTAACTTGCGCATAGGGACAGACAGAGGCCCCTGAGGACCGAGATAGACCTTCACAGTGATGGGGGACCAGCGCTGGGATCCCCAGATTTGAGGTCCTACCCTAGTGGCATCCCGCAGCTCCAGAAGGCAAAGGCTGCGCTGAGGAGATACGGCCACCAGGCGGCGCGCGGGGCCCGGGATCGCAGGAGTCTGGGGCGGCGGGAGGGCTGGCTCAAAACCTTCTCTCCGCCCTCTCCCCTCACCCCATACCACCCCCCCACCCCCAACCCCCACCCCCCAGGTATTAGCTGGCAAACAGCAACGACAGGTATTCATGGGCAGCTGCTTACCTGTCCGTTATCTCACACACAACCAGAAGTTCCTTGAGGACAGTGTGTTTTCGACCTTGACTTCCCCGAATGCACTTGAGTCCCTTGCCTCTATCCTAGGTTCGCGGAGCCCAGTCAAAGGAATGCATTCTCACCCTGGAAGGCAGGCAGGGAGGACCAGGAGGGGGATGTGCACGGGTGTGGGGAGCTTGGAGGCAGCTGTTCTGGAAAGGAGAGACGTCAGACCCCACCAAGGTGGAGCCCAACCATTGGCTGGGAGGGGAATTTGTACACTTGAAAACGTTGGGGTGGAGCCTCCGGGACAATCTAAGATTTGTTAAAGAAATAAGGCAGCAGTTCTCAATCTTCGTCTTTAAATATATATATCCTCCTATATAATAAAGAGCTAATATGCTAATTAGACTGGACAAGGGAACAATTTTCCAGAACGACATTCTGGAACGACCAGTGGGCAGGGGACGGGTACACGAGGCAACCAGGGCTGCAAAGGCCTACTCTTGCACGAATTTTGTGCATCAGGCCTCTCTCGCCTCTCTCTCTCTCTCTCTCTCTCTCTCTCTCTCTCTCTATATATATATATATATATATATATATATATATATATATATTGATTTTTACAGAGAGGAAGGAAGAGGGATAGAGAGTTAAAAACATCAATCAGCTGCCTCCTGCACACCCCCTACTGAGGACTGAGCCCGCAACCAAGGTACATAGCATTGACAGGAATCGAACCCAGGACCCTTCAGTCTGTGGGGCTGATGCTCTATCCACTGAGCCAAACCAGTCAGGTCCTCAGTCTTCTTGGTCTCAGGACGCCTTGGTACTCTTGGACATCCTGGAGGACCTCAAGAAACGTTTTACATGGGTTCTACCTCCCCATATTTGCCATGTTAGAAATGAAAACTGAAATGTAAAAAAAATGCATTTATTTACTTCTATAAAATTACGATAACAAACCCACTGCATTACCATAACTCTTTTTTAAACTATATTTTCCAAAACAAAAAATGTGAGTGAGAAGTGTGGCACCATGTTACATTCCTGCAAATTTTAAAAATGTCTAGCTTAATAAAAGACAGATGGAGCCTCCTATCTGCTTCTGGGCTCGGTCCGCTCTCTGATATCGGACTGTTTTCCCAAGGCATGTAGCTTTGTACACTCACAAGACAATGAGAGTGAAAAGGGCAAACAACATCTTACTCTGAGAATAGTTTTGACCTTGAGGACCCCCTGCCCATTTTGATATTAAGTGGAGTATAAGTTGCATACAGTGTCATTTTGGGGTCAGAATCGAGAGGCTTTTTGTAAAAGGAAGGTTACCTTCGGTGAGGGCTAAGGGCTGGGTTGCCTCGACTTCACCCATTGGCGAAGATGTGGCCTCGGTGGCCAGGGGTACCGGAAAGCAGGGCCTCAGCTGGTGCAGACACGCGCACTGTGGCCGCTCCTTCGTGTGTTAGAACTCCATCACAGCTGACTTTCTCTTCCTGCTGCTCTGAACTGCAGCTGGCAGAATGGCAGCAGCCCCTTCTCTTGGGCCAAAAGCATATGGGAAAGTTGATTCTCCTTGGGGAGGGCCTTGTTTTTCTGATTCAGAGACTCTGCTGACTTTGAACCCATTTTGTGGGTTCTTATCAATCCCCAAATATTTCAAAACCATGGCCCCGTTCACTTCACACCTGTTAGAATAGCTATCATCAAAAAGATAAGCGATAACAAATGTTGGCAAGGATGCGGAGAAAAGGGAACCTGACGGTTAGGTAGCTGTAAGTTGGGGCAGCCACTATGGAGGTTCCTCAAAAAATTAAAAGTAGGACAAGCATATGACCCAGCAATGTCACTTCTGGGTATATATTCCAAGGAAGTAAAAACAGGATTTAAAAGGAATATCTGCACTCCCATGGTCATTGCAGCATTATTCACAATAGCCAAGGTATGGAAACCACCCGTGTCCTTCAACAGATGAACGGATAACAAAGATGTGATCTTAAGGGAATTATGCTAAGTGAAATAAGTCAGATAGAGAAAGACAAACACTGTAAGATATCACTTACACATGTGCAATCTGAAAAGGCTGAACACGTGGAAACAGAGACTAGCCTGGTGGTTACCAGGGGCTGGGGAGTGGGGAAAACTGGGAGATGTTGTTCAAAGAGAACAAACTTTCAGTTATGAGTAAGTTCTGGGGATATAATGTACAGCATGGTGATTATCGTTAATAATACTGTATTATGTACTTGAAAGGTGCTAAGAGAGTAGATCTTAAGTGTTCTCACCACAAAAAAAAAAGAAATGATAATTACGAGACGCAATGGAGATGTTAGCCAGCTCTATGGTGGTAATCATTTTGCAATATATAAGTGTATCAAGTCAACACGTACACTTTGTGATACGTACACTCACACAATGTGATATGTCAATTATATCTCTTTAAAGCCGGGGTGGGACCACAAAGGCCCCAGCATCTCCATGCCCCTAGACCTGCTCTGGGGGTAGGTGCAGAATGCCCCAAACTGAATGAAGAGGCCAAGTGTGCAGACTTTCAGAGCTCCTGGAGCCCTGGCTCCTTAAAGTAATAGACAAAGAAAGTTTCTTCCCAGTTAATTCCCTCCGTGAACACCTAACCTGCCTGATGTCTCAAAGATGAAGGGCAGAGGCCAGCTTCTGAAGTTCTGGGCCCATTATCAAACCCCAGGTTTGGGAGTCACTGGGGTCCTTAGTCCCATTACCAGCCCTAAAAGTCCTCAGTCCTTGGGCATCTTGGAATACCTGAAGGCAAATTTGGCATCTTGAACCCCCCAGCACCTGAGATTAGGTAGATCTGGGATGGGCCCTGGACCAAGTTCTGAACAAGCCACCCAGTCCATTCCACTGTAACTGGCCCGGGCCGCCCTTTGCTCAGGGTTACTGCAGCTCGTGTCACAGTCCATGTGCCACAGAGAAGCTCTCGGACCCAGCTCAGAATCGGCACGACTTTCGCCTTCCTTCCCTTATTCTCTGAGTAAGCACCCCCTTCCCACGGGCCTGGATTTAAATTCCAGGGTTTATAAATCTCATTTGATGAAGATAACAATCTTTCTCCCCAGTCCCAGAGCTATGCATTCCAAGAAGATTCCCATTTTCTCAAAACTCCAGCCCGGCTGCTGCCCGAGCACTGCCTGCGCCCGCATGCCCACAAGCACTCACTCGCCTTCTCTGTGCGTTCCTGCCATTCTTCCAATCTGGGCGTGGGTCCATGTGATGCGGATGGTTCCACATCCATCTCTCAGAAGAGCCAAGCTGAAGGTGCAGCAGGCAAAACACACAACAACAACAAACCCAGATTTATGAACGCAGCTTTCTTCATACCAGGAGCCCCCCGCTGCTGCCTTCTTCTCCGATTTTGTGGGGATATTTCAGTCCCACTCTCTGTCACAGAAGGAGCCGCTCCTCCCTCCCACCTGCCCCTCCCCAGGCTGCTGGTGTGAGTGGCCACCTGGAACCCTGGCTCGGATTTTCTCAGCAGGACTCCTGGAACCCTGGCTCCTTAGGGACAGCCCAGGGCCCCTGGAATCTGCTCTGCAGCCAGCCCTCCTCGTCCTCTGATTCTGCCTCTGGCTTTCGCATTTACTCTGCCTGGCACACATGTTTGCGAATTTAACTCATCTCATGAGTTCCTTAAAGCATCAGTCATGATGAGTGCTTTTTTTTCCCCCCAGTGTGTCTAGGCCAGTGATGGCGAACCTTTTGAGCTCGGCGTGTGAGCATTTTGAAAAACCCTAATTTAACTCTGGTGCCGTGTCACATATAGAATTTTTTTGATATTTGCAACCATAGTAAAAGAAAGACTTATATTTTGATATTTCTTTTATATATTTAAATGCCATTTAACAAAGAAAAATCAACCAAAAAAATGAGTTCATAGGTTCATAGGTTCGCCATCACTGGTCTAGGCACACAGCAACACACACTTAGTAAAGCAAGGGGACCTGACCAGCGTGGCTCAGTAGTTGAGCGTCGACCAATGCACCAGGAGGTCACGGTTCAATTTCCGGTCAGGGGCACATGCCTGGGTTGCAGGCTCTACCCCCAGTGTGGGGCAGGCAGGAGGCAGCCGATCAATGATTCTCTCTCATCATTGATGTTTCCATCTCTCTCTCCCTCTCCCTTCCTTTCTGAAATCAATAAAAAAATATTAAAAAAAAAAATGAGACATAGGTACAGGTCTCAGGAAGGAGAATGAAGAGACCAGACATTTAACCAACAACTAGAGAGCGAGCTCAGCTTGCTCCCCAGGATCACGGCCCATCTTGGTCGACTGAGGGATGAAGGGCTCCATGAGTGACTAAGGGTATTTGGGAGGAACGTATTCGCTCATGGCAATTTCTCAGCACCTGCGAGAGGGGCAGCTTCAGGGACAGCAGGGCCCTGTGCTCAGTGGGCGCCAGCACTTTTAAGCACAGGCTCTTCGGTTCTTTGTATTGTGCTCTCTGTGCTCTGTGGGAGTCACTGCTATCTCTCTCCTTTCACAGACAAGGAGACAGAGATGAATTAGCTTGTCCAAGTCGCACAGGAAGGAGAGCTAGAAGCAACCTCAGGTCTGCAGAGACCCTTTTGTGACAGCTCACCTGTCTCAGCTCTGGAGAGGTGGGCTTCCGTGAAGCTGGTAAAAACTGACAAGGCTCTTTCTTCGCTGGCCTCTCAGTGGAGCCCCGTAGACACCAGGTGCCCCCAGCAGAGCAGAGCTGGCATCTGGGGGCTGTGCTGTGAGCGGTGGTGGAGGGGGCTTTGGGGCAGCTGTAGAAGATGGTGCTGGTGGTCTCAGCCATCGTGGTGAGCAACCAGCAGTCACCTCATGGCGTAATGGCTGGCATTTATTGGGTACTTATGATGTGCCAGACACCGCTTATGTCCTTACTATGGATTAACTTATTTAATCTTAACAATTCCCATTTTTACAGATTAGGAAACCAAGGCCCAGAGAGGTAAGTAACTTTCTTAGGCCACACGTCTAATAAATGTGGAGCCAAAATTTGAACCAGGTACGTTGACTGCTGGGCTTGAGTGCTTTAGCACTGTGCTAGGCCACCTGTCCTAGGTGCGTGTAAGGGATGAGATAGCTCGAAGTGTTTACTTGAAAGAAAGAAAGAAAGAAAGAAAGAAAGAAAGAAAGAA